GCCATCCTAGCACCAGCTGTGGTTTCCACAGGAGTCAGCCACCACTAACTTGGAACTTATTCCCACAGGAACACATGTCCAAAGCCAGACTCCAGCCTATTCCACAGACATCTCCTGGGGCCTGTAAGGTGATAAGTTGGAGTGGGAGGCTGGAGGGTGGTCCACAGAGGGGCAGGAAGGAATAAAGATTCTTGTCAGCCACATCTCTGGGTGGGGCTTCTGCCCCTTGCGAGTATGTTGCGGTTCTCGGGGCGGAGAGGCTCACGTTGCTTTGAACGGCACATCCGACCTCCTTCCCCTCGATGCCCAGGAGTTTATCTCACCCCTTCGGTCCTCTCTCCATGCCCCTGCCCCTCCTTCGCCCTCCTGGATTCAGTCATCACATAATTATTTATTTGTCCATCATAGATTTGCTGGGCACACTCCCTGCGTCGAGCTGGGAGGCAGCCCTGGAGAGGCCGGCCCAGGTCTCCTGTTGCCCACATGACACCGTCTGTCCTGGAAGCTATCGCTTTCTTCTCTTTTGTCACTCAGCTGTGAAGACCAGAGCCTCTTGCCTGCCTTTGATCTGCCCTCAGCGGGGCGGTTTGGGCCTGGCCACTCCTTGGCTCCGACTCTTGCCTGTGAGGTCCTTCTTTTGGCAGTGGGCCCTGCTCCCTGCTGGCCACTTCACAGGAGGACTCTGAGCCAGCCCTCCAGCCCCCCAGCCCTTCCTTTCCAGGGTCACACTTTGCCTCCATCCCTCAGGAGGGCGTGATGTCCTGGTGATGTCCCAGCCTCTTTGAGGACATGAATTCAAACCAGTTTACTCAGAGGACATTCAATTTACAGTTGTAAAAATGATTTTAAAGATCACCTGAAAAAAATAAACAAAATGAGACTAGGAAGTTTCTCGAGGGGGGAAAAAAGGCCAAGAAAGAAATTTTTAAAAATTGACTATATAATTAAATTGTACCATTAAGTTGAACCAGCCTTGCACACCTGAAATAAATCCCGCTTAGTCATGGTGCTGTGATTCTTTTTATACATTATTAGATTTTATTTGCTAATATTTTGAGTATTTTGGCAACAGTATTTATAAGAGATACTGGTCTGTTGTTTTTCTTTCTTGTAATGTCTTTCACTGATTTTACTATTAGGGTAATGCTGACCTTATAGAATGAGTTTAGAAGTATTCCCTTGGCCTCTGTCTTCTCAATGAGATTGTAGAGAACTGGTATCGTTTCTTCCGTAAATATTTGGTAGAATTCAGCAATGAACCCATCTGGGCGTGGTGCCTTCTGTTTTGGAAGCTTATTAACTGATTTGATTTCTTTAATAGCTATAGGCCTCTTCAGATTATTTCTCTTTGCGTGAGTTTTGGTAGATAGGGTCTTTTGAGAAATTGGTCTGTTTCAACTAAGTTACCAAATTTGGGGGCAGAGCATTGTTCGTAATAGTCCTTTATTAGCTTTTTATTGTCCATGGGATCAGTAACGATGCCCTCTATTTCATTTCTGGTATTAGTAATTTGTGTCTTCTCTCTTTTTTCTTGATTAGCCTGACTAGCGGTTATCAATTTTGTTGATCTTTTCAAAGAACCAACTTTTGATTTCCTTGATGTTTCTCTCTTGATTTCCTATCTATCTTCAATTTTATTGATTTCTGCTCTAATTTTTATTACTTCTTCTGCTTATTTTGGATTTAATCTTCTTTTTCTAGTTTCCTAAGGTGGGAGCTTAGATTATTCACTTTAGATCTTTTTTTTTAAGGTATGCATTCAATGCTAGAAATTTCTTTCTAAGCCCTGTTTTCACTGCCTCCCACAAACATCGGTAAATTGCTTTCCTTTTCATTTAGTTCAAAATTAAACATGAAATTCCATTTTTCATAGATCAGATTAGCAAAAATGTTAAAGTTTGATCATACATAGTGTGGGTTAAGGTGTGCAGAATAGGCACATTTATACCTTGGTGTTGGAAGTATAGGTTAGTTCAATCATTTTGGATGGCAATTTGTACATATCTAAAAAAATTTTAAAGGTATATACCTTTTATTTTTGTAATGTATAGATGTCTGTGTAGAGTGGTCATGCACACGCCATCTGTGTATACGGGGCAGAGTTTCCAATAGCAAAAAACCTGGAACAACCCAAGTGTCCACTAATGAGAAGACTACTTCAATATTTCTATTAAATGAAAGTCTATGCAGAGAATGGAGTATATCTAATACTAATACTGAAAGATGAACAAGATACAGTGTTAAGTGAACATGCAGGCTACAGCAAAGTATGTTTAATGTGCTCGCATTCGTGTGTATGTTTTAAGAAGAGCTTATTCTGTGTATAATATGCTTGGATTCGTATGAACACATCTGGAAAGTCATCGTTGCGGTGACTTCTGAGACAGAGAGGCTTGGGGGTCAAGGATGAGGAGTCACCTATGGTTTATCACCGTATGCCTTCTTTACAGTTTGAAGAGGATTACATTTAATTTAAGAAATCGTTTTAAAACCAAACTGCAGATTTGAGCCCAGAGGTGGCTGAAAACATGCTTAAATTTCCTTTGCTCCCTCTTGCTTAGAGGAAAGCACGTGATAGGCCGCCCACTCCTGGGCTTTGCACACTCTGGTTCTTTCTCTCATTTTATATCTAAGAGGATTTCAAGGGGAAAAAAAATAAAAAAACGTCCTGATCATTCTGCCAGATGTCACTGTTAATGGCTGGTCATTTCTAAATGAGGAAAAAAGACTATTTTTTGATCATTACAGAAAGAAGTAAAATTTGTTTTCTTTGAAGTGTTTTAATAGAAAGGTAATTTAAACTCGCCGTCTTTAGAAACCAGAGAAACTGAAGAGCCTTTGTGCCCTACTGCTTATCATTTGGGTGTTTTGTGCTGTTTCCCTGAAGTTTGTTTTTCTGTTGTTGAGGTTTTTTTTTCTTGCAACGCATCTATTGTATTTTAAATGGCTATAATCCCAGGGAACATACACCGTTGTGCTTGTTTGTGTCATAGCGTACACATTTTCCGTATGGCTACAGGGCCAGGACATATTAATTTGGAGGAATGTTACACATGATTTCTCAGAAAGAGCACGAAGTCTGGAAGTAGGAAGTTACCAAACCAAAGAACACGTTGTTGGGGCGAGAGGGGGGAGCTTTTCCTCTCTCGCTCCTTCTGGAAAGTGAAACTCTGAGCCTGCAGTGGGGGGCTTGGCTACGATTGGCACCTTTGTGTTGTGCACAAGTTTGCGAAGGAAGATCAAGGCTTCTTCTGAGGCTACAACCGAAACACCGCTTGCTCCTTTTGCTAAAGCAGCTCATGCTGAGTATAGTAGGGGAACTAGAGCTTTCACTGAGTCCGTGTCTGCTTGTCAACACATGCCTGACATTGGGCTGGGAATAATTTAAACTCATCTGTCTGCTTTTCCTAGATATGAAATATAACCTGCTTTTCACAATGGATTTTCTCGAAAACCAAATTGGCAGCTTTGCATAGCAACAAACAAAACGCCTGAGCTACCCAGCTTGGGGAGGGGGGTGTTAGAGGAGAGCCCTCTCCCAGCCAGCTGTGTTGACTTTGTGCAGCTGACCTCTCTAAGCCTGAACTTCCTCATCCTGCAGAAGAGAGACAACAGCTGTGCCCAAAGTTTATCCTGAGGATTAGACAAGATAACCAGCAAGGATGGTGTTTGTAACAGAGATGGGGAAACAGAAGGCTCTCAGTACATGGCAGCTGGCTACCAAATTATACTTAGTAGTGAAGTAAATTTGAGAAAATACAGAAAAAGCACATACATATACAGTTTACTTACAAAAATGCAATGATATCGTACAAAGTTTGGTGCATTTGTTCACAATCATAGAGGATTCCCGTCCTAAGACCTATAGAACAAGATGTTATCAATAGTTTTCTTGAGCAGCTACTATGGGCTGGGTGCTGTTCAGAGAGGTTAAGTACTGAATGAAACTCTTGGGGCTCGTCCGCCTCGGCCACGCTTCCCGGCCACACCCAAGATGGCTACCTGCCTCGGCCTGTCACGGGACTCCGCGCGGGAACACTTCCGCCTGCCACTCCCAACATGGCACTGCCAGCCCGCTTCGGGGCGGGGCCAAGGGCGGAAGTGGGTGTGGCAGGGACGGAAGCCGAAAGGGCACGCTCCCTGAGACAAAACACTGGAAGTGTGAGCCCAGAATCGCAGGGATGATCCCTCCGCAGGAGGCGTCCGCCCGGCGGCGAGAGATAGAGGACAAGCTGAAGCAGGTGGGACTGGGGCTGGGGACGCGGGGGAGGAGGAGCGGAAAGGGGCCGAGACTTGGGCCCGGGGCGGGAGGGAGCATTCCCTGCGAGGTGATGGGGTTGGGGGCGAGGCCGCCAGGCCGCGACGGCGATCTCCCTTAGCCTCCAGCTTCTGATCATGTCCTCCCCTCCACTCCCGCAGGAGGAGGAGACACTGTCCTTCATCCGAGACAGCCTGGAGAAGAGCGACCAGCTCACCAAGAACATGGTGAGTAACCCTCAGCCGGGAAGGGCTGACAGGCCGCCAGACCTTGCAGGAGGGCCCTGCGACCTGCGGCTCGGGTCCATAAGGCCCGGGTTCTGACATGGGAAGTGATGGCAACGTGTGGGTTTCTCTAGCAACAGTGTGGCATGTCTCTTACCGAGCTCCCTTCTCCTTTCCGCCCCTTCACTGAGCCTGCGGCAGCCCCCGCTGGCCTGGACTTGCGGCTTTCCGTCCCAGCTCTCCATTCTTCCTTCTCTCCTTCTGCAAACGTGTAGTGACACTGACTTTGGTGGGCTGGATACTGGTCGCGTGAATCCTCAATTCAGGTGTTCGTGGGAGGGCAGGGTTAGCACTTCCAAGATTACCGAGGACAGCGAAGACTCAGCCATCACCCCTAGAGAGCTTTAGGCACTTAACAGCTCTGAAGTCAGACATCTGGGATCTTGTCTTCACCCTCTACGTATTTGTGTGTAGCTCCTGACAGGTTACTCTGAGCCTCAGTTAACTCATCTGATCAGACAGACAATGCCAACCTCCTAATGTGGTTGTGAGGTCGTAGAAGCTAATGCATGGGAATCTTCCACAATACCTGGTATACAGTAGGTGCTCAACAAATACGAGTTTCCTTCCTTATTTATAGAATGGGCTGGAAAAGTACACATTGAGTAAATACAAAGTTAGGTAGGTATTTAGTAATTTAATGAGATTCGCCTTTGGAGAGAGAGGGTTTTGAAGGTACCTGCAATGTATTTGAGGCTACTCTAAATGAAACTACTTCCTGGTCAGTCTAGGAAAGCCTCAGAGAGAACAGAAATTGAGATTTGGCTTCAAAGGGTGGAAGGGACGCCATCCTGGGGTGATTGCCGTAGGAGAAGTTAATTTGATGCTTGGCTTGCCTTCAGATCAAACTTTATCCAATTTATTTGGACCACCCTCTATGTGCCGGGCACACGGTAGGTGCTGAAGATACAGTGGTGAACAGATAGACCCTGTCCCTTCCCTCATAGAGCTTATTGTCTAGAAAACCAGAGAAAAAGTAGCAAATGCCATGAGTTGGTAGAAGCAGTCTGAGAGTATGGAGCTGTTCCCTGCAGGTGTCTATCCTGTCATCCTTTGAGAGCCGCCTCATGAAGCTGGAGAACTCCATCATCCCCGTGCACAAGCAGACAGAGAACCTGCAGCGGCTGCAGGAGAATGTTGAAAAAACTCTGTCCTGCCTGGACCACGTCATCAGTTACTACCATGTGGCCACTGACACTGAGAAGATCATCAAAGAGGGGTGAGCTAGGGCCAGAGGGTCACATTTCTAATGCTCCCTGGACAAGTGGCCCTAGGGCTTGGGAGGAAGGGGTTGAATATAGTTGAGCCTGGAGTCCCCTGTGTTAATTCTCTTCTTTTCCCTTTCAAATACCATGCCCTTGATCCTTCGCTTCATCTCCCATCCACCCAGGCTGATATGGCTCTTCCCCTTCCCAGTCCCACAGGTAGGCTGGAAGAATACCTGGGAAGCATGGCCAAGATTCAGAAGGCTGTGGAGTACTTCCAGGACAATAGCCCAGACAGCCCAGAGCTCAACAAAGTGGTAAGGGGCCAGCAGGGCTTTTTCTGGAAGCATCACTTCCCAGCTTTTCTCCCATGTGTCTCTGTCAGAAATGAGGATATTTGCGTGTCTCTGGCAGCCCACAGCCACACCTGGCTGCCTGGAGGACTCAGGGGATCGATACTTTGGCATACCAGTATGACCAGTACACTGCAGCCCATGGGTGGGGAGCTTGTTGTCAGACTGGGATGTCAGGGGCCTGGAGAACTTCGTTTTTGAGAGTCACTACCAAGTTGGGATCACAGAGCAAAGACCTCTGTGCTAGAACTTGGATGTGGGAGTTGGGGTGGGGGGTGGGTGGAGGAAAACACAAAAGATAAGGAACTATAGGTTGACCCTGAGGACTTTTTTTTTAAAGCAGAAACACCCCAACTCCTTTCTCTCTCTTTTTTAACATCCTTAATGAGATATAATTCACACACAATAAAATTCACCCACTTAAAGTATAAAATTCACCAGAATCAAGTTTAGAACACTGATCCATCCCTCGAAAAAGAATTCTGAACATGTTGGAGTCACGCTTCTCCTCACCCCTCCCCTCCCCTCCCCTGTTCACCCGGCCTCCATCATCGCCAATCCATTTTCCGTTCTCTACGGATGTGCCTTGTCCAGATTTCTCGTATAAGTGGAATCATACGATATGTGACTTTTTGTCTGGCTTCCCTCACTTAGCATACCATTTGCAAGGCTCATCCGCGTTGGAGCACGTGTCAGCGCTCCACTCCTTTGCATTGGCAAAAAATACTGCATTGTGGGACTATGCTACATTCTTTTTATCCATTCATCCCTTGACGGACACTCCACTTTCTGGCTATTATAAAAAATGCTGCCGCAAACCCTCGTGAACACATTTTTTGTGTTTTCCGTTCTCTTATGTGTTCTGGGTACCTGTTCCTTATCAGATATACTCTTTGCAAATATTTTCTCTCATTCTGTGGCTTGTCTTTTCACTTTTTTGATGGTATCACTTGCAGCGGAAAAGTTTTTAACATGACATAGTCCAATTTATTTTTTTCTTTTGCAAACCCTTTTCTCACAAGAAAACAAATTAATAGTGCAGTGAGAAAATAACCAGCCAATATTTACGGAGCATCCACTTGGCGTAAAACCCCAGGTTTCACCTGTGAACATACAGTTCGAGAGACCATGAGGTAAAGAAATAACAAAAAAAGGCTTCCTGGCCCTCCTTCCCTGGATTAAAGGAAGTGAAGGCAGAGGAGGGGGTGGGAGGCAAGAGCTAGCTGAATGCTGAAGCAGTCGTGGACCCCCCTGCCTGCCTTCCTCCCGTTGTCCCCTCAGAAGCTGCTGTTTGAGCGGGGGAAGGAATCTCTGGAGTCCGAGTTCCGCAGCCTGATGACCAGGCACAGCAAGGTCGTCTCCCCTGTGCTCATCCTGGATCTGATCAGCGGCGAGGACGAGCTGGAGGTCCAGGAGGAGGTGCCTCTGGAGCACCTGCCCGAGGGCGTGCTCCTGGACGTGATCCGCATCTCCCGCTGGCTGGTGGAATATGGCCACAACCAAGGTGGGTGTGGGCCGGCGGGCATTGGGGGGGTCCTTTTATTTCTTTAATTCACCTGGGTTTGTTTCCTTTTTTCAAAAGAAGTTGAATAGGAAACAGCATAGCAATAAATCTACAGTTTGTGTACCAACTTGTGAATCTAGCCAGATCCTAGCTTTTCTTTATATAACTTCTTCTTTTGTTTTTGGATTAATTATAAAAGTTTCAAATAGTACAGAAGCCTCAGGTGAAAAGCAAAAGTCCATCCCCTCATTTCCCGAATGCCTACAATATTATAACCAAAGACGAGTGCTGTTTAGGTTTATTTATACCCTTCCAAAAAATCCTTCTGCAACTGAGAGCATATGCGAGCATATGCGAGCATATGCGAGCATGTGTGAAACAGGTGCGTAATATTCCATGGTGTGGTGGTACCATCATTTCTTTAGCCAGTCCTAGGATTAAAAAAAACAAAAAAATCTTGAGTAAAACAAAAATTTTAGAAAATGAAAATTCCAGTGAATGTCCCATTTGAAGCTTTTGGTCCTCCATACTCTTTCTTAGTGTGTACACACACCAGGTTGTCAGTGTGCATTACAGTTATCCCCCTTTCCTCGAGGACTGTGTGGTGACAGGCCTCAGGGCCACTGCATATTGGCCACACAAGCACATATGGCTCATGAGCTGAGCTGGGGGAACCTGGGACTCAGCAGATTTTCAGGGGCTCCACTGGGGTAAGTGGGGGGCCCGTGGACAGCCTGCAGACCCCTCAGTGCCCTTCAGCCAGAGCCTCTGTGCTTTGGTCCATTCTCTATGTTGAGGTTCCTTGCCATACATTTGTTGGGAACCGCTGGAATGTATCACAGTATCCGTATTTTTTTTCCTCCCTCACTTGCGTTTTTGGATTTTCCAGTTTTTCAGAACTGATAAATAATGCTGCACTGAGCATACTTGTGTGAATTGTATTTTAGGGAGTTCTTCAGGGTTTTTTCTCAAAGGTGCAGTTATCAGGGAGATTTGTCCAAACAGGTCTGTAACTTTCCTGCCTTCTAGAGTCGCTCTCCAAGTTGGGGCCAGTTGATGGCCCTGTCGACTGTCCCGTGGCTATTTGTTCATCGTTAATTCTGTCTATCGTAGCTGTTTGATAAGGAAGGCCTCTTATTTTTTTTTCAGTTTGCACTTTGTGAGGCTGAGGATATGGTGCGTGTTTTCAGTCACCGACGTTCGTTGTCTCTTTACTTCCTATAAATTGCCCATGTCCTTTGACACCAAGTTGCATTTGGATATTAGCTTTATATTTTTTATCAAAAAAACCCCTTACCTTCAAAACTTAACTGGTGGATATTTTCCCTTTCAAGACTTCGCCTGACTGGGGACAAGGCCCCGTGGGTGGCTGTGAGCCAGAGCAGACGCTGGGAGGGGCTAGCAAGTAGGAATAGTGGGCTCTGCTGCCTGGCAGAGCTGCTCTAGAGGGGACTTCTCGTGGCAAGACAGGCAGGGACCTCGGCTGCCACAGCTCTGTCACCCTGTCTCTCCTCAGATTTCATGAACGTCTACTACCAGATTCGCTCCAGCCAGCTGGACCGCTCCATCCGAGGTCTGAAGGAGCATTTCCGGAAGAGCAGTTCTTCCTCCGGGGTCCCCTACTCCCCTGCTGTCCCCAATAAGAGAAAGGATACACCCACTAAGAAGCCCGTCAAGCGGCCAGGTGAGTCCCCACCCCAGCCCATTAAGCATCAGCCGGAAGGCCAGAAGGTCACATGGGACCTGGATTGCTTTCAGCCACCTTGGGGTTAGCTGCGTGCCCCTCTAGAGCTTGTCCTCACAGTCACCCCCCACTGTAGCTACACGGGACAGGAAGCAAGTGTCTGCCCACCCAGCATGTCCCTATCACATGAGGCTCTTCAACTCAGCAGACTCTGGGGGTTACATAGACGTCTTTGAAGTGGGGAGCAGAGGCACAGATGGGGAGAGGCAGGGTGACGGGGCGCCAGGGCAGAGCCAGTGCTGGGCCCCACTGCCTGCCCTTCGCGGGTCTGTCAGGAGGCCGAGCACACTGCTGCAGCCACGACGGCGATGCAGCGGTGCAGGCCCTGTAGGCCTCACCCTCCAGGAAGCCGGGCTGGCTTGAGGCGCCCGTGGCTGAGAAGTGGATGGGGGAGGGTGTACAATTCCACAGTCAATCCAGAAAGGAGCAAACATCCCAGCCCCTCCTCTCTGAAGAAGTTAGTCTGGCGAAGGTAGTGCCTTGTAGTGGGAAAGTCGAGGGAGGGCTGTTGAGGGGGCAGAGGCCTGGGCCGAGGGTTGCTGCTGTCCTGAGTGAGCAGCTCACTGTCCCTCTCCCCATCATCGTGTCCCCCGTAGCCTGTGCTCCAGGTAAACAGCTGCAGCTTGGCAAGACTGGCTGTCTCTGGCTGCCAAGAGATGTTTTCGCTTGGCTCAATTTGAGGCTGAGACATTCTGGGGTGAGGGGCCGCTGCAGGCACGTGCCCCCGGTGTGGCCCGTGAGACAACAGGCTTTGTGTAGAGCTTACACCCTTCATCTGTCCAGTCCCTGTTTGCCCATGCCCCTCAGAGGGCACGGTGTCTGAGGGCACGCTCCTCCTCGTTTGGGGTTTGGAGAAATGGAGAGCAGAGGCTGCCCTCAGGCGGCCAGTGGGGAGGGCGTTAGGGAAGCTGAGTGTCCCTGGAAGGAAGCACACTGCTTTCTCCCACCCTGACCGCCCATCCAGAACCAGAAAACCTGCTGCCAACAGCGACTCTACTAAGCCAGCCTGCTCGGCCACAGCTGCCTGCATGCGGTCAGCCGTCTTGTGCCTTTGTGTGTTGGGCAGGGCTGTCTCCAGGAGGCTTTCTGGGCCTGGGCCGCTCTGCACTCGCTTCTTCTGTCTCTTCTCTGGGCCCCTGGACGCCCCAGGACCCGATGTGCTCGCTGGCCATGCAGGGAAGGGGCCTTCCGGGGCGGGGAGGGATCTGATCTCGGGGTTCACAGTGGACCTGATGTGTCCTTGGCTTGTAGACCCAGGGGGAGAACCAGCTGGGAAGGCCCCTGTGGTTTCTGTGGGGTTTCAAGATTTGTCAGGAGCCAGCGAGCTGAGGACTGATGTCAGCAACTAGGGAATCGGGCCTGGGGACATCAGGTCCTGGCTCTGGGGAGAGGAGCGGGGAGGCCTTGGTGGGTCGGTAGTGAAACACCAACCTCAGCATCGTCCCTGGTAATCGGGCCCCTGATGAGTTTGGCGGCTGCCGGATCAGCAGCCGCGACCCACTTCCATGGCAGTGGGCTGGCTGGGCTCCCGAATGCCTGGCGGCCCATCTGCTCCTGGGCGGGTGTGGGGCAGGAATCTGATGCGCTCACCCGCGGGACCACTCACTGACACAGGGAGACAGATGCTGTGCCGGGGCCTTGAACTTGGTTATCAGTAACTACTTGTGGTGTGGTGCAAACAAAAAGTGAGCCCCTCCGACCTTGCCTCCTCTAGTGGGGCGCGTCAGGACCTAAGCAGCTTCACTGCTTAGAGATTCTGGGGACTGCGCACCGGGAGTCCCCAGGGAAGAGGGACCAGAGTTATGTCCCCGGGCACCTCCCTTCCCCACAGTACGTTTTGATACTCGCTTATTTTATTTGAAAGGCTGTTACTTCCCCACCTTTCTGCCCTGAGGTGTCTCATTCGCACAGAGGCGGCCGACCCCGGAGGCTGGGGCGTTCGGTTTGGTTTCCATCAATATCGCTTGTGACACTAACTGTTGTTTTCTCCCCCCATGCCAAGAGCACGTGCCCTTTCCCACCGCCCTCCCTCTGCTCTCTGCAGGGTGGCTTCCGTTAACCCCTCTCAGCTCTCGGGTTTTTCCCCATTGCTTCGGTGTTTGGCGCTCGGAGTTCGGGTACCTTCAGTGCGTGGGGCCGGGCTCCCTCGGGGTCTCCACGCCTTCCTTCCGTCCCAGGCACTGTTCTCGCAGGAGGTTCTCTCCCGCCTCACCAGCTCCTGGCCACTGTTTTCCAGTGACTGCTGTGGGCCGAGTCCCAGCACTGAGCATGCCCAGAGAGCTCTGCCTGGCATTCACGGAGGGGTGCAGGCCTCCCGGCTTCGAGGTGCCCCAGGCTCTGCCACCTGGTCGTGTCCTCGGGGTGTGAGAGCTTCGTCACCAGCTGCTCCGGCCCTCATCTGTTGTGATCTCAGTGCCACTCGGCA